CGCTGTGCCCGGGGGTGCGAGGTGGGCTTGGGCACGGTGGTGGTCTCCAGGCAGTGGAGCAGCGCAATCCTGCTCCTGTGCGTGCTCAAACTGCTTCTTTTTCTCCACCATCGATTAGCAGATCTAATCAGGCCAGCCTAATGCTGGGTCCCTAATGAGGCTCAACCAGGAAGAAATTATTTAAATTAGTTACATGACATTCTTGGGTGAGAGAAAAACAGGATACACAGCTACCCCAAGAACTTGGCCAGCACCTGAAATGTATCCCAAAGGAAACCTGCTGGCTGATGGGAGGTGTGGGAGACATTCCAGAGCCATTCCAGGGCACCTGGAAGATCTGCAGTTCCCTGGATGCAGGCAGTGAAGCACCACCATTCCCCAGCCTTGTCTGTCCCAGCCATGCTGCCCTCCTCACACAATCACAGAATCATTTAAGCTGAAAAAGCTCTCTGAGATCATTGAATTCAATCCTTCCTCCAGCACTGTCAAGGCCACCACTAAACCATGTCCCCAAGTGAGACATCCACATCTGTTAAACCCTCCAAAGGTGGTGACCCCACCACTGCTGTGGGCAGCCTGTTCCAATGCCTGAACACCCTTCTGGTGAAGAAATTTTCCCCCATATCCAGCCTAAACCTCCCCTGGTGCAATTTGAAACCATCCCCTCTAACCCTGTCACTTTTGCCTGGGAGAAGAGGCCAAATCCCACCCTGCTCCAATCTCCTGTCAGGGAGCTGTACAGTGGGAGAAGGAGCCCCCTGAGCCCCCTGAGCTCCCTCAGCTGCTCTTCACCAGACCTGTGCTTCAGACCCTTCCCCAGATCCATTTTCTTCTCTGGACAAGCTGCAGCACGCTGGCATCTGGCAGAACCTCCCAGGAGGAGTTTGCTTCACAGAGTGGGGAAAAAACCCAATCAACCAACCAAAAAACTCCTCTGCATCATTTTGTGTCATACCAGTGGGTCCATGTGGCTCACATGAAGGGTGTGAGGAAGAGGAGGGCTGGCATGAGAGGCCAGGGGAAGGCACTGCACACATGGGCACGAGCTGAGGCTCTGCTCCGCTGCCCTGGAGCTGCAGACAATTCCACCCCAC